TATGTGTACATATATATAGAAGAATACGTTTCCATGAAAGGTACACGTATATATATATATATATATATATATATATATGTATGTATGTATGTATAATATATATATATGTATAATATATATATACGTATAATATATGTATATATATATATATGTATATATGTGTGTGTGTGTGTGTATCATTTACAGACAGTACTGTTTCGCTGTATCAGAGATCCTCAGTGCAACTAGACATCCCAATGCTTCAAGCCAGAACCGAAACCCGACCAATTTAGTATCAGTCGGAGTTTCTACCGTTGAGCTATCACCATTCAGCAGAGAGAAGCAGGTAATATCATCGTATTGTTTTTACGAATGTAAACAAACGCCAATCAGTCAGAGGGCTCTAATTCATTATACTGAAGAGCTTTGCATTAGCACAAGTGGCTGTTGTTTATAGCATCAATCAACAGTGCTGAAATGAAATATATTTTTCAAGAGTTTAATTATATATATATATATATGCGTTTGTGTGTGTGTGTGTGTGTGTGTGTGTGTGTGTGTGTGTGTGTGTGTGTGTGCCTGTTTGTCTGTCTGTGTGTGTGTGTAAAAATATATAGAAAATAGGAAAGAACTCGTTAGGTAAATAATCCAAAGTTCTTTAGTATTTTTGTTATTATTTTTAAAAAATATTGCTCGATACAAAAGTAGAGCATAAATATAATGATTTATTTAAAAATATGATTCCAAATCGCTACATAAGAGGTCTCATGTTTCAAAACAAGAGCCGAAAACTTCAATATAATTATTTGAATTATATTGAATTAAAGTACCAAGCTCTGTTCCATTTTCAAGCGAAATTGTTTTTGATGGAACAGAGCTTGGTACTTTAATTCAATTTCATTTCCGTTAAGTTAACCATCTAAATAGGTCACGGTTCGGTCATTCCTCCTACCCCAATATAAAGCACGCTTAAGAGAGATATGAAATTAACCCCTCCCTATACTCTATCTTGTTTCTTTACCTACACTTTCACCCCCCGTTAAATTACAAAAATTGCACTACCCATCAATTTCTAATCCCATTTTTCCTTTCATTTCGTTGTTGGAATTGTTACCTGATGATCCGGAGTCCTTTAAAAAGGATTTTGGTGAAATAAATTATTGTAATGGTCCCTTAAAGTGGTCTGTTTTTCATTATATGTATATATATATATATATAGATAGATAGATAGATAGATAGATAGATAGATAGATTGTCATCCATAGACACACAGTTTCGCTGTATCACAGCTCATCAGTGTTGCTAGAGACGTCCGGCTGCCTCAAGCTAGGTTCGAAATCCGGTTGAATTGGCGTTAATCGGAGAATTTACCCTTAAGTAGTTGGCGCCCGGCAGGGATGAAGGTGAATTTAAGCGTATTTATTTTTAGATAAACACACCATTGACTGAGAGAACTCGATTCGTTTTATCGAAGAATATTGCATTAGTAGCAGTAATAGTCACTGTTTACAAACTCACACTTCGTCCGCAACCGAGATCATTTTTCAGGAGCATATATATTGTCACCCACAGACAGACTGTTTCGCAGTATCACAGCTCATCAGTGTGGCTAGACGCCCGGTTGCCTCTAGCTAGGATCGAAACCCTGCTGAACTGGTGTCAGTAGGAGAACCTACTTCAATGCTCGTACACCCACATATATGTAATTTTTATATAAACTAGAATACATATGCATTCATCACCCATTTTGTGTCTGCAAACATAGTTTCAATTGCATGTAATTGAAATCTACATGTGGAAATATATTGCGATATGTTCATATTTTGCCTGGTAAGGTATATTCACCGTCTATATATTCACCATATATATATATATATATATATATATATATATATATATATATATATATATATATATATATATATATATATAATGTATATATAATCAGTAGGGAGCACTTCATATAGGTCAGAGGATTATGTTTAATTAGTTTCAAGAGGTCGGATTCATTACATTTAAATCAAATTCTCTCAACAAAATTATAAATCAAATAAGTTTTAAGCCAAGAGAATTTATACAAGTATGCTTAAATATACAAAAAAATAAGGAGTAAAAATGAGGGAAGTCCTAACATTTAATACCGCGGATTGCTTATCTAAGTGGACGACGATGATGAAGAATGAGAAAAAAAAAGAAAAAATCTTTATTTATATTTCGGAATAACTTAGCTGCAACTTGAGTTTTAAACATTTCATTTGGAGAAGATGACGAAAAATCCAATATGTAAAAGTATCTTCCAGTTAACCTGTCAAATATGTCAACAAAACCTCACTCGCACAAACCTAAGTTTACAAAGGCCGATAAAATAAATCAAATGCATATAAACACGCATTTCTTTTATAAACTGTGTCCATTCAGGAATTTGATGATCATGGCTCTCCCCAAGCAATATTTTTTCACGGTGTTATTGCCTCCCTTGTCTCTGTTATTAAATACAATTACACAAGGTATTTGAAGGCTTACGCCAAGGTAAAAACACCGGTTCTCGTACGATCACCGAAGTTAAGCAACGTTGAGACTGGTCAGTACCTAGCTGGGTAACCGCTTGGGTATGTCTGGTGTTGTAAGTTGGGATGCGATGGTAGTATAATCGGCTTACTGACATATCATATTGAAACACCCGCTCTCGTACGATCACCGAAGTTAAGCAACGTTTAGTTTGGTCAGTACCTAGCTGGGTAACCGCTTGGGAATGTCTGGTGTTGTAAGTTGGGATGCGAAGGTAGTATAATGTGCTTACTGACATATCATATTGAAACACCGGTTCTCGTACGATCACCGAAGTTAAGCAACGTTGAGTCTGGTCAGTGCCTAGTCGGGTAACCGCTTAGGAATGCCTGGTGCTGTAAGTTTGGACGCAAGGGTGGTATAATGGGTTTACGGCCATATCATGTTGAAACACCGGCTCTTGTACGTTCAAAGAAGTTAAGCAACTTCGTGCCTAGTCAGTACCGAGATAGTTGATTGCTTGAGAACACCAGGTCCTGTAAGCTTGGATGTGCAGGTGGTGTAGTTGATAATGGCATGAAAATCGGGAAGTTGAGTTCCAATTATCGTTGAGTTCGTATTCTTCATCATTATCCCCTTCAGTTATGTAATCGTTTGGGTGGGGGATCCGAATGCAGAAGCCATATTGAATCTCCTCCACAACGGTCTATCAACGGCAGCCATATGCAATTCTTGTATATTCATGCTTGTCCATTGTTTGAAATTGTCCAACCAGTTTTTGCGTAGACGTCTTCTCCTACGTCTACATTCAACGGTGCCTTCCACGATGTTCTTGCACAGGCTGTCGTGACTTTAACGTGTCCAAACCACGCCATTTTTTTTCAATATACGCATTTGTTCGCAAATAGATTTTGGAAAGATATGAACCCACCTCTAAACTCCCAAACGTTTATTAGTAAACTTTTATCATTAAAACCATTGTTATCTTAAATATATATATATATATATATATATATATATATATATATATATATATATATATATAGATATAAATATGACGTAATAATTTTTTTTTTGACGTTAAAAATACGTAAAAAACGACATTATTACGTCATTATTTTTGCACCAACCTAATATATATATATATATATATATATATATATATATATATATATATTAGAATCTCAAGGTAATTTCTGGATTTAAATAATCTGCAAAGTGTTGATTAACTGTGGAAAAAATGAGTCAAACTATTAAAATAATTTACTTGAATTTTCCCTCAAACAGTTTATTTTTTTATGAATCCCAGAATTTTTAACTGTTACGTTCTGATCTCTATCTATAAAAGACAGGATGTGTGTGTGTGTGTGTGTGCGTGTGTGTGTGTGTGTGTGTGTGTGTAACGAATGCACGGCCGCAATTTTCGACGGATTTGCACCAAAATTTACATGCACATGCTCCAATTTAGCAGAAAAGCCATACCGCTTTTGCATTTCCCAACCCTCATCGATAGTGGAAATAATCGATTTTTCATGCTTCTACGGCAGTTTTCATGTAGTTTTCGGCCATTTTCTACTGGCCAGAGTGAGAGCCTATAGCTGGCTGCCACGAATAGGCAGGAAGATTCTATTGGCCAGCGTGAGAGCCAACAGCTGACTGACACGAATGTTAACTAGCAAAATCGATAGCTGCATTCGTCACAAGTGGGAAAAATTTAAATCTGCATGGTACTTTACTCCAATTGGCTCATTCGTTTGCTTAAACTCAACGTTGATTCTGATTCCGCAGAGTGGGTTGGATGTGAAAAAGTATTTGTTGTTAACATTCTTTTTTCATTCGGTTTTTCCAGTTACGAGTCCTTTTTTTAAATCTGATCGTTTTGTGTTCATTTTGTTTACTTCTTTTTTCGTAACAGATTTTTGTGTTTAGTATAGAGCTTAGAAATTTTCGCAGTGTGAGATAGGCAAGAAGTAAGGCATGTAGCAACATCAGCACGGCAAAGGACACTCTTTTAAAGGCAAGGAAGGGCAAAAATATTTTAAGTCAAGTGATAGCGATTGCTGTATGAGTCGTACGATTTTTGAATCAAGCACGGGCAACGCCGGGCCATGCTGCTAGCTTTATATATAATTCCTTATTTTCCTTTAAAACAAAATCTCCTTTACTTAGATGTTCCGTTCACGGTATTCTCAGAATCCTTCTATTGAACTATGTGTCATTTGCCTCATGTGTTCTCTTCACCTGTGAGGAAATTGTCTAGAACCTACCGCTTTTTTAACTTCCATCAGTATGGCTGATTCTAACCTCCAAGAGAGTGACCAATCTCACCTTCTCGGGCTAAGGTTTTCCACTGACATGAAGTGGAAGGATTACATTGAATCAGTAGCTAGGACTGCTGATGGTAAAGCTGGTTCACTGTCTCCTTTGAGGCAGATTTTATCGCCAGAAACTATCTTACGTATTTATCGCGTATTTATAAGTTCGTTCTTGCTTTGAATACTGCTGCCACATTT